TACACTATCCATGGCTTCTTCCGAGGTCAAATGGTCCCTTTCGCGTATTTCCCCCTTCCAAATCCAAAGAAACCTACATGAGGATGTTCGGGCTATTGAAGAATTACGCCATTTCCATTGGACGGAATTTCAAACCTACGACATTTCAGTTGGATTACGAGATTTCCACGCTCAGAGCGATTCGAGAGTCTTTTCCGAATTCAGAGGTGAAAGGGTGTTTGTTCCATTCCAACCAGTGCTTGTGGCGCAAAGTTCAGGAATCGGAGCAACAGAATCCGAGGGAAATCTTTCAAGCTTTCAAACACGAAATTCAACTGCCGTCGAACCATAACCCACCTCGGCTTCGAACAGGCCCCGGGGCGAGCGCGGGTAGGGCGTCGCTGGCCGCTTGGGCGCACGGGTCTTCTTTGCGGTGCCATCGCTCTGGGCGGTCGGGGATCCATTTGTCGGAATTTTCTGCTCGATGTACGTCCCAGGACAGATTGGGAGTGAGTGAAACGCGAAGCGCGCGGAGACATCGAAGTCAACCGGCCACCAGAGGGCGTGGCGGAATTTGGAGTGATGCGCGGGGATGTTTCCAGAATTGTCAGACCCCACTCTGACGATTCGGCGGGGGACTGTCACGAACAGGACCAGGTCCATTGCGTCATCACCACTTATTTATTTGTCTAGCAATACTAATCCGTTTACACCATACCTCATTTCACACTGCCAGAGAGAGACCAAGCAGTCATCGAGGGGTAATCTAACCATATACTCAATCCAAGGGATTGCTCCTCCTTCTCCCCTTGATAACCAATATTCATTATATTATTATTTCCTGAGTTGGATAATCTCAATCAGAGAATCACAAATAAGGCCCAGAGCCAGTAGCACGTTTGGGGATTCGCGCCGTCAGTGGCGGCGCGTATCAGTGGCGAACTCTTCTCGGAACAGCTCTCTGGCCACGGACGGCGCGACAGTCTCTCCAACAGCTGACTGTCAGCGGAGCTGTCAGTGGCCGGAACTGTGACGTCAGACGTCAGGACCTCGATATCGGTAGCGCCCTGATCACGCTCAGCGCTCTCGATATTTCTCAGGACTCAGGGTTCAAATCCCTGATCCGGTTTGCGAAAGGATAGGTCTGGGTGACGCCCCGCTATCCAGTTCAAGTTCCCCCTAAGTGCGTGCTGACTCAGTGTCTTTCTAGTGATTCATCGGTCTTTTCATTGGGAAGCACTACAATCAGTGCCACGAAAGCTATTCACATGCAAGAAAGAAGCTGATGGCCAATAGTATCTCTGGGTTAGCTTCCAATAAGTCTCAGCGATACCGAGATGTCCTGACTCCCTGGCGGAGTGAGCAGCCTCCAATTTGGTTCTGCGCGGTGACCCCCCGCGTTCCCGATTATCGTTTCCCCGAACATCAATCCCCCGATTCTCAGTCCCCCGATTGTCGTTTCCCCGAATATTCGCCCGCTGATTTGACAAACTTCGAGAGTAAGAAGCTCCTGAGAGTGGGCATATCATGCAAAGTCGAACGAACGTCTCGAGCTGGTAGTCTCCATCGCGGAAAATCTTCTGTATAGCCTCATAGCGCATCTTGATCTCCAGAGCTACGCACCTCGATGCTCCGTCCCAGAATTTCATGGGAAACTCTGAAGAGATAATCGTATCTCTGATACCTCGGCTAGAATGATCACACGTAATACTAGAGTACGTCTTGGGCTCCCCCATAGCTGGCTGAGGTTTATTGTCCTTATACATATGTATATGGCGAGTCATAGGGAAGATTTGACCACAGAAGACCATTAGAGTTTAGGTCAGTCTGAAAACACTGTGAACGGGTTTAGTGGTGACCGGTCGGTGACCGTTCCAGATCAGGGACTTCAGTATCTAGAGCGAAAGGTGAAATGGACAATATTCATCAAACTCTACTTATCATAACCTGAGGCGGATCTAGATGACGATGCTCTCAGGGTAGTCCCTTTCCACAAATCGGATCGAAAAAGTGAAAGATGGAGGATCGGGCCGACGTTCGTCGATTCCACGACCGTATTTTGACGACGACGATAAGTATATTCTCGAGATCGCTATGGTCCGCCTTCTCGTCGCGGCAGACAAATTGGAATTATGGGAGTGTTATGATGTCACAATGAGCCTCCGCTAGTCGGATCCTTGAGCGCACAGTCTCCAAAAGACGCCGCCAAATCAGCGGGCGAATAATCGGAGAAACGATACTCGGGGGACTCAAAATCGGGGGATCGATACTCGGGGAAACGATAGAACCGTTCTGCGCATGGGCTTGGGCAACACGAGATGAAGTTTGTCGCCGGACCTGAAGAAATTTCGTTTGTAGATGGTTCCCGACATGATTTGGAACTTGCTGGAGCGCTTCGCAAGGTCCCTTTGCCGGTCTAATGATCCGTCTTCCTGTTGTGCTAGAGCTAGCGATTCTAGGGAGATCGAGTTGATGTTCATCGCGGCTGTGTCTCCGGTCCGTTGCAACGCGTTGCGCAGATGGTCCCGGCATATTCGTTGCGTTTGAGGACGATGGGCTCGTGTTTGAGCAATACACTTCCTCTGCTATTGTCGTATATGTGATCAATGGTACCGCATTGTTGTTTGTGTTTTCGATACCTTGCGAGGCGAGGCTTCTTGTTCATGCCGTCTCTCCATTCTTGATGGACCAAATCATGGTAAGGCACATGAAACAGGTTGAAGCCGGAAGTCATCTTCGTATTTGATTCCTTGATTTTTCTTTTATTCAATTGCGCCAAAGCGTCGTGAGCGGCTTTCAAGCTTACCTCGGTACTACAGCTCACAGTCTGCAGACATTTGGGCTCACATTTGTCGATGTTGAGGATTTAGAGTCCTTCCTTGCATTCGGCTATCGCTCTTCCTCGGCCGGTGGAGATGAGGGTCCTCTCAGTGTTCTTTGTGACTTTGTAGCCACTTTCCGTCAACTTGCCGACAGAAATAAGGTTCGTATTCATTTCCGGAACGTATAGGGCGTCACAGAGTTCGATAATCACACATTTGTTTCCTCGATGAACAGACAGCAAGGCGTCACCATACCCCTGTGCCGTAAGGGTATCGTTATTACAAAGTCTGACTTCTCGAGATGTCATCGTGGAGTTCAGTTTGGTGAAGAAACTCTGATCGTTGAGCACGTGATGAGAGCTGCCGGAGTCGACAACAAATTGCATCTGTGTAGTGTTAGCACTTCCCTTGTCTCTGCTCGAGTCTTCCTTCGTGAGGAAGACCTTCGGCCACGTGCGCCTCCGGTTTACCTTTGGCTTTTCGCGGAGGATTCCTCTTCTTACAGAACCTTGAGGAATGTCCCACTCCGTTACATGTCAAACAGCGTAACTCCGTGGTGCGGGAGTGAGACCGCATTTTTCGCGTGTTTGTATTCTGTCGCTGGTATTGTTGCCTCATAGGTCGACGTCTTCTTCTGGTGAGGTTGGTTCTTGCCATGGGAACAGTTACATCGTTGATGTCGCCGCTCTCGATTTTCTGACGAGCGGCCTCACTTCTGATGAGGCTGAGTGGAGTTTCCAGGGTCTTGTCGTCGGAGGATCTTGTGGTCCATGCTTGCTTGAAGGAGGACCAGGAGCTTGGAAGGGCACTCACCATCTGCGAGATTTGAGGGTCCAATACCAAGCCGACCTCAACGAGTCCGTAGGTTGATTTCTGGTACCTCATGATGTTCTCAGTGACACTTTGAGCCTCATTGTACTCGTAGTTGAGCCATACATCAAGAGCCTGTTCCTAGAAGATTCCATCGCTGCGGTTGAAATGTTTCTTGATACTTTCCCGCATAATTACAGCACTCACGGTTGCGGATTCTCCGTAGAACAGTTCGAGGATGATATTCGGATGAACGATGTTGAAGAAGACGGTCCTGGCTTTGCGATTTCCGGTATCATACTTTGCAAGTATAGCTGGATCCCTGTCCGGCTAGTTTTCTTCGTTCACCACCTGCCACGCGTACCGTATTCTCTCTAATAGTCGGGTACTCTCCATTATAAGGGCAGGGTCGGGGAACTTGAAAAATACACGGGCACTCTCCATTATAAGGGCACTCTCTATTATGAGGGCAGGTTCGGGGAACTTGGAAAATGGAGGAGTATCCTCGGTCGGTGATGATGCAGCGACGTTCCACGTCTTGTGGTTAAGTTCTCGCGTGTTGACACCTTCGAATGGTCAGCTGTGTGAGTACGCAGCGGGATCGATCTCGCGTGAAAGGTTGAAGATACCTTCCACTCAAAGTGTGATGCTATGACACCGGCTTGTTATAAACGACTGCTAATGCTTGTGATTTATTCCTTTGTCTTACAAGAGGCCGAGTGCGGCTGGTATGGTTACATCCTCCTCCCACCGAATTGTCAAACTCCAACTCCCCCCTAGGGTACTCTATGACTAAAGGGTATCCTGTACAATGAACTATCGGGGCGATGTCGGATTGATCCATCCGTGATGATTCTGGATTAACCGCGGGAGTCCGCCGTCCGGTTATGTGACAATTAGATTGTGGACTCTTGCTCTTCCTCTTGTTTCGTTAAATTATTGTATCGACTTTGATGATCGTTTCCATTCTCTATCTTCTCTTATAATTATATGATGAGTCTTGCCGGGGTGATGATCGCTCGTCCGCTCCTTGTGTGCGTCACTGGAGTTCCGATTTGCATTGGCGTAGGGGTCGTCCCTTGCTGCCGATTGCTCGAGTCTCTACCTGGGTTTCGGACTGTGATTCTCTTTCCGGCTCCTCCGCTGGACCCGGGTGTTGTCGGTGCTGTTTCTCGAAGGGTCCGTCGGAGCTTGCGAGCTGGAGCTTGTGTTAGCCGGAGGGTTGGTGTTGCTGCTCTTTTCCGGCTTTCTCTCTCGACGGGCGCATTTCTTCGCTCTCGCGTCCGAGTTGAAGTTTCTGGCGGTTTCTCCGTGCTGGGTGTTCTGTGAATAGCAGTTGCTACGTTAGTTGCTGTGTTCGGTGAGCTTGCTGGAGCGGCGGTACTATTGCTAAAGTCTCCTGTTGCGGATAAGAGAGCCCCCCTCTGGTGTCTTGATGAGATATGTGCGTGGTCTCAACTGTTGGAGACACGTTCCGAGTTTCCATTCGTGTGTATAGTCCGTGGGTTGTATGCGGACTTTTTGGCCGACTGCTATGGGTTGTAGATCTTTCGCCGATTTGTCGTGAGTCCTCTTCTGTTTGTCCCGTCTTGCGGTGATCTGTTTCTGTATTAGATCGGAGTTCGTCGGTCGCAGGTTCTCCTCTCTCATCGGCATCAAGGTCGCTAGAGTCCGGCTGAAGAACTTCTGCGCCGGTGATTGGCCATCAACTTGTGGTGTGGATCGCCACTCAAGCAGGGCTTCTTGGAGATTTTCTCGATTGAGCTGAGTTTTCTTTATAATGCGTTTCGCTGCTTTGACAGCGCTCTCGCTTTTCCCGTTGGACTGGTGGTAATGTGGCGAGCTGGTTATGTGTTTGATGCGCCAAGATTTCAGGAATTCTTGAAATTCGTTTGCTAGATAACGAGGATCCGAGTCCGTATGGATTTCAGATGGTCTGCCGTAGCGGGATAGGTGTGCTGCCGTTTTCTCTATGATGCTCTTTGTTGTTGTGTCGCGGCCGAGACGGTCTATTTCGAAGAAGTCAGAGAAACTGTCAATGGTTACCAGATACTGACAGTCTCTCCATGAGAAGAGGTCTTGATGTATGACTTGCCACGGTCTTGTCGGGATGGGTTTCCCAACGAGGGGCTCCGCTCTTTGTTTGTTCCTGTAGACCTGACAAGCTTCGCATATCATCGCCATGTTTTTGATGTCGTTTCGGATTCCCGGCCAGAATATCGTGTCCTTCACTCGCCTGCACATTGAATCGTAGCCGAGGTGTGACTTGTGTGTTCTCTGCAGGAGTTCAGGTCTCATCGTTTCGGAATTACGACTGCACTGCCTTTGTAGATGATGCCGTCTTCAACGACGAGTTCGTCGCTGATGGTTTGAAAAGCGCTCGTTCTCTCGTTTTTCTGGCGCCAGCCTCCTCTGATGAGCTCGATCACTTCCTGGAGGAGTTCGTCGTCTTCCATGTGTCTTTTGATTTCGTCGTACAAGATGTCTGAGATCCGAGCGGGATCTCGGTGTTGGACCTGTCTGATCCGCTCGGCTCTTTCGCTTGATTCTGCGTCGATGTTCGGAAAACGGCTCAGGGTGTCTGCTATGAGGTTGGTTTTCCCTTTGATATATTCGACTTTGAGGGGATATTGTTGCAATGCTAGCCTCATTCTTTGGAGGCGTTTTGGACATGCGTCCAGAGGTTTTTTGAAGATCGTCTCCAAGGGTTGGTGATCTGTCTGGACTGTCACGTCTTTGGCTCCGTAGAGATATTTGTCGAATTTCAAGCAAGTGATCAGTATAGCGAGGCATTCTTTCTCGATCGTTGCGTACGCTCTCTCGGCATTGGTCAGGGTATGTGAGGTGTATGCTACGGGTTTCCTGTCCTGGAGCAGCACTCCTCCGAGTCCGAAATCGCTCGCGTCTGTCTGGATGATGATTGGTTGTTCTTGGTTGAAATACGCTAGGATGGGTGTTTTCGAGAGTCTGTCTTTTATCTCTTCGAAAGCTTTCTGTTGTTCGGATTGCCATGCGAAGTCGTATTTCTCTGTTTGGGTGAGCTTTCTTAGTGGTTCCGTGATTTGAGATAGATTCGGCAGGAACTGTAGCAGGTAGTTCGCGCAACCAAGGAATGTTTGCACGCCTTTAACGTCGGTCGGTGGTTTCATCTCTCGGAT